GCTGGGGAAATACACATCACAAGTCCTATACTACTTACTGAAGTAACAAGTTTCTAAAAATATAGAATATTTTTTCAAACATTAATTTGTAAGCTTTTACAGTAATAGGAGTACAAAATATAATAAGCTCAGGTTTCCAAGACAGTTTGACACAAATCTGGATTCTGAAGAATAAATCTGGGCATAAGTACATAATTTTTTCTACAAGTCTTTTGCACTGAAACTACACTGGGAACTTGCTTTCTTTGTTAGCTTGTATTTAAATACATTTTTCTTCATTTTGTAGACAATTAGATACTGAAAGGATTGTAAAAACATGAAAAATCTTTACCTTGATTGAAGCAATTATGGAATGTCATGCTTAGACTGTTCATTTCTATTATAGTACGTGCATTTTAAATGTAATATAACTTCCATGAATCTCAGTAATTGAGATTCATTTTTTATTCAGAGAACTAGAATATTTAAAGAATCATCCTTTTTGATGTGGTGGCAATGATGTTTCATAACAGCTCCCCACTGTGGTCAATATTAGGGTACATCAATTTAGGTTTTGTTTGAAGTTTTCCTTTTAGATATAAATATAGCAGTTTTAATAATAAAGCAGTAATGTGTATATGTGTATATAAAAACTTTTTACAAGTCATTGCAATAAACTACATTGATCTTGCTAATTCTGTGGAATTTAGCAGTAACTCATGGGACTGAAAATACTTATTTATCAGGTTCATAATCTTAAAAAAATTCTGTGTGGATCAGCTAGTTCAGACCTGAACCTTCAAACAAGAGCATTTGTAGGGATAAGACGATGGGACTGCAATCTTAACTGGAGGTAAGTTCAATTAAACTCAATTTGAATAAATTATATAATAAAGCGCTCAAACCCAGAGTGTCTGCTTTTCTTCTAATCTTACTGTTGATCTGTAAGAGGTGGTCTTCTGTAAAATTCTGCTGCTAGTTAAGACAGAGCTGTGGTGAAAGCAACATATTAGTTTTTCAGGCCCTTTAAAGGATTATAGGGAACTGAAAGGATTGTAAGAACACAAGAAACCTTTACCTTGCACTGGCACTGCCTGACATGAAATATATTTTTCCCAGGTATTTATCTAAATGCTTGGAAGAAATTAACCTGCTTATTTTCTGTGGGTCAGGCTATTATATTTTTTTAAAAGCATGAAGTATGGAATGTTCAGAACCCATTCCAGGCCTCTCTGTCTTGCTGACCATTGTGATATATACAATGATGGAGAAGAAACAAGAACAATAATTTGTATGTTGTATCCCATTAATATTTGTTCAATGTACCATCACAATTTTAAAAAAATCTTAGTGCTAAGTGTTAGTAGCTTCAAGTACTGCTAGAAAATACAGGAACTTGACAAATAATGCAAAGTGTGCAGCTCATACAGCTTATATAATATTCAAGGTATATTTTAATTCCTCTCAACTTTTTGTGGAGGCAGTTCTTAATTTTTCTATGATTACTTGAATTGATGGATTTTTACTGTATCAAGGTTAGTATTCATTTGTTTTCCCTTTATAACTTCTCTTTTGATTTGGTGGAGACTTTTTTCCCCCTGACATCACTTGGAGGGGAGAAGGCATGTGGAACAAAGTATTTTATATGAGCTAAACATTATTAAGACAAATGGATGTAGATAATGCAGAAAATACTTTATTGCCTGTTGCTAGAATCTTCGGTATTACTGTAGAAATATGTTTTTTGCTGTGTCTTAAGTCGAGCTCATTAAAATCATTATTATAAAATTACTCTGGTGTCTGGGTGTTTTGTCAAATATTGTTTATGATTGTCAGTAGCTCTTTGATAGTTCAATAATTCCTCAAGATACAATAATAATAGTAGTAATAATATAATTTATTAAATGTATGCCACCCAACTGTGTAGCAGTGACATTTATATGCATGTGGCAAGATAAGACAATTTCTTAACTAATACTTTAAGTATTGGAAATAGGAAGTACTTCATCCCTTATCTGTCTATGTGGAAATTGCTAGAGCAAATAGTAGATCTAGAAATTTATTTCCCTCAAGTTTCCATTTGTGTTTCAAATGCATAGAAGTAGCAGAGCAGGAATAATGTCTGTACAAAAAGGGTATCATTCTTTGTCCTCAGGTAGAAAGAGTTATGCTTGAAATGAAAAAATGCTACTGGTTTAGAGCCCTGTTCAGGTCATACCATATATCATCATCAACCTATATCATTTAGGTTGCTTGCATAAATAGGCTAACAATTACTTGGGTGCATGGAGGGAGTACAAAAGAGCTACCCATTGAAAGCATTGTAGGTTCTTCTGTGGTGGATACCGGCTTCCTACTCTTAGGTATCCATGTAGTACTTCAACTGTATTAATAAAGACTCAGCTTTTCAGTCAAGAAAACCAAAGCCTGACAAAATTTATATCTCATGTAAAGCCTTGGAAGTAGTGCAGTTCTTTAGGATGGGTTAAGTTTAAAGTTAGAATTTTCAGCAGTGGCACAGATAGAGCTAGATCTCTGGTCCAACGTTCAGGGGCTTTGTAATACAGACTCCCAACACTTCCCTCTCCAATTTACACCTGATGGCAAGTGAGAAAGGCAATGAAATACAGGCTGGGGGTCACATCTGGGCCAGATGGTATACCAGATCTTCTGCACTTGCTAAATCTTTTTTTATGTTGGTGTGTATTCTGATCAGAGTAGCCAAGCAAACATGCACTTGGTTACAAATATACATTTTATTCTAGTAAACATGACAGTGCCTTTTAACAACAAAATGGTGCTTATTCTCAATTCAATGTTATGTACTGCTAGGGAACTTCCACACTATGGCCATTTCCACTTCTATCTGTATACAGTAATTTGAAATTGACCTTTCAGCTGAGAAATGCTGAAAGCAGGAAACTCTTCCTTCCATCTGATCAACAGGAGAGCACAAAAGATGCGGCAATCCATTGTGCTTTGCCAAGCTAAGCTGCTTCCTGGGGCTATACAGATTCCCTCATCTCATTGCTTGCAAAAGGGAAAAGTACCTTTTGTTGTAATAGCATCTCAGTGTGTTGACACAGTGGCTGAAATTCTATGGAGAACAGGAAGTGACTAGCAAGACAGGTGAGTTAACAATTCCAGCCAGTAAAAAAATGGACCACTCTGTAAGCCATATAGGGTGGTAATATTGCAAAGAAAACACCAGCCAGTCTTTATTTTGGTCAATGACAGCATAAAACAGAGGTAAAGAAACAATAAATAAAAGAACCCATCAGATAACATCATCTCAGGTGACATTCTAGATATGAATATATAATAAGATTAAAGCTAATTCTAAAGCTAAAGTCATACAATTTTTTAAAAACTAAAATTATGATCCTAACCAAAAGTTAAAAACTGGAATCTGGGAAAATGCCACCCAGAGTCTGTGTGTGTGAGATGGGGGGCTATATAAATGTAGGTAGGTAGAAAAAAACTGTTGTGTTAGAGACACTATAATTCAGAATTTAAAACTGCTGTACATGGTAAAGGAGAAGTGGAAATCCCCTTGATGGCATGTATACAACAGAATCATTTATAATCCATCTATTGATGTCTTTGTTTCAGTCAGTGGATAGAAGTGTACTCATTTCACTTGCTGAGGATACAGACAATGTGCATGGCTAAATTCATCTAATCAAGTAGGTGACCCTCATGACTTACGAAGGATATTCAGATTTGTCCAGTTGTAAATTAGTCTAAAAGAAGAGCAGGCACGGCATTTTAAAAGAGATACTGATTAAAGCTACTTCTGAAGAAACCTATTGTGGACTTGGAACACGAAAACATTTCCTTTCTGAACAAAGTAGATGTGATCAATCTGAGGCACTGGAAGAAAATAAATTTGTTTACATCAAGCAAAAACGTACTGAAAAAATCCTCCTTAGATCCCGACAGGTTGGAATAATTACTGACTTGTTCTTAATTTTTCTTTCTGAGGCAGAAGGACCCATGATATTACCTATGGGTAAGGTTGAAATTACATTAGGAAGCAAAAAAAAAATACTGTTTTTGGATTATAATTCACCTCAAAATGTAAATTTTTGCATAGTTAATGGGGAAATCAACACTTTGATCCAGAACGCAGAATAATGGCTTTAAATTACAGGAAGGCAAGTTGCAAGAGAAAGTTACAAAACCCGATTACTCGGGCGGTGTGCTTCCCTTAAGTAGATGTGTTTAAGTAGAAGCTAGCTAACCATCTCACAAATACTTTAATTTGGATTCCTGCACTGAGCAGGCGGTTGAACTCAGTGATTTAGGTGTCCTCTTCCAATTCTCAATAATTTTTTGCAGTTAATCTTAGCACTGATCTTGCCTTTATGTTCAAATTTTGCTTTTCTATCGAAAAAAGTGACTAACGTAATAGATTCAAAATGCACCATCTAGTGGTAATAAACGGAGCTAAACTGAAATACAATGTCTAGCTGGTCCTCTGATCCTGCCGCCGCGATGCTTAGTTTCACAAAAGTTCTCTATCGCACGAGGGAGCCAAAACGTGCTCCTGAGTCGAAAGGTTCAGTGAGCATAACCTCCAAAGGTTACGGAAGCACCTGATAGCATGCTGGGACTTGTAGTTTCAGCAAGAGAACGATCGCCGCCTGAAGTACTTTTGTCACTTATCCCGCTACGTCAGCTCTTTCCCTTTCAGGCCTAGCGCTTTCCAACGTGGTCTCGCAGATGCAGAAAAAAGAAAGAGGGGAGTTCTTTGTATGGCTGTCCTCCGCTATGCCTGCCAGAATATGCTTAGTACATGTTGAAGCCTACCTTTTTTACCCTCAGAGACAAAGCAGAATTTTCTTAAACTGACACGTTCTAATAAAGCAAGAAAGGAAGCCGGCAAGTTTAAAACACGCAGACTGCAGCCTTTTTGACCAGGCGTTTGCTTGGACGACCTTTCCTAGGCAGGTGAGAGGTCAGGCATAGGGGGCCTTTCCCTCTCCCCGCCCTTCCCCCACCTCTGACATGCCAACCCAGCAGTCGACGGCGTAGCAGCTGCGCAGGAGGTGGGTGAGGATGGTGGGAGTTTGGGGGTGCTGCCGAGAGAGGGGTGATGGGACCCCCTCCACCCACGCGCCTTTGCAGGGAAGGGCACAGGGAAGACATGTTTCTGAATACTGTATAGATAGCGAGGTTGTGAGGAACTGGGGTCGCGGCTTAATTTTGGGTCGCCAAATGGATGGAAAGGAGGGCAGGAATTCAGTGGGTCTCTCGTAATGGAAGGTGCCTAGAGTTCAGGAGAGGCAGATTCGCCCCCGCTCCCCCAATCCAGGAAAGGAGAAGACAGTGGAGGAAAACGCTCATTCCACTCCGGGTCAGTTATACTCACTGGATTTTTTAAAAATCATTTGCAGGCTCCAGAGTTTAGTTTTTATTTTCCGTTTGTGTTCATTCTGAAGCCCCAGAATGGAGTTGGAACTCATGGAGAATGACATTTTAGAATCACTTGAAGACCTCGGGTAAGTATGAGAAAAAACACAGTTGGATCCTTTTTATTGCTCTTTTTTTTTAACCAGTTTTTTTAGTATGTTCCCTGTCTCTTGGGGTGATCACAATGTCTTCTGAAGATACTCTCTTTTCCCAGCACTAAATTCCCATGTCTGTTTTCCCCCTATTTAACCAATTAACTTTAATTGCTGACTATTCTTTGAAGTGTATTCCGTTATGTAGGGGAAAAAAATGGGAGACTTGTCAGTTGATATCGACAAATGAAAATATCTTCAGTTGGCTTTTAACAAGATAAGATTCGCGCCATATAAAGATCCACTCCCTTCACTCCAGTTAATGATCTTGGAATACCTGATGGTGACTGAAGTCAAGTAGAATGGAACTAATCTGGATGGAAGACAACTGAGAGCTCCTTGTAAGGAAGGGCAAAATAAGTATATTTATGATGGTGGTGGAGGAGGAGGAGGATCTCAGAATATGCTGTTGCTGCCCAATATTTTGCCTCATGGGAGAGTAGCGTGGATATGTTCAATCTGTCTAGTGTTACAGTATTCTAAGAAATCTTCATAGAAAAAATTCAGTAACTGAAATAACTGTAGGGTTGGCTTCTTTGGTTTCTTGTGATCACAGCATCTACTTTTTAGTAATATTTAATTTAAATTACACCAAATATTTTTGAAAGCTTTAATCTTAGACTATTGAAAATAGTAGCATGGTGATCTATGATACAATTAAGTCCTGTGGAGAATGTGATGTGTGCATTTTTGTGCAGAAGAAGCATGCATTAGAACTTCTAAGTAAACAAATGTCTACCCAAGATTCACCACAGTGGCAGAAGATTATTATAAGCAGGATAGAGAGCAGGGGCATCTGCAGCATCAGAATGGTACACAGGACCAGGTGATTGAAGCTCTGCCTCCTATTATGTGCATGCAGTGTGTATGATACATCTTGAAAAGGGTGGGGCTTCAGTCACTCAGTCACATGCACCAATTTGGAACTGTTGATCCCCCTGCAAGTGCTTCTGATAGCGAATTGATGTGAACAACTTATTGCAAAAAATACTAGATCAACTTTCCTAGCCTAATGTCTTCCAGATGTGCTTATGAGAATTACATCTAGACAGCAGTCAGATTGAGGAAGGCTAGGCTAGTTGACTCCTCCAACAGTGAATAGGAGGAGCTGAACAATCTTGCAGTAACTTTTTAAAGTTCTTAGAGAATAATGTGGGAGTTATTGTTTCTCTCCTGTGGCTTTTAGTGGGAATCTAATGCTCATACAGGTAATACAATAGGAGTATACGTACAGAGAAATAATTGAGTTCTCCAAATCTAAAACACAGCATGCTGTGATAACTATTCAGTAGACCTGAGGGAAGCCTTATGGGCAGATTAGATATATCTTGATTATACAGGTAGTCCTTGCTTAATGATGGTAGTTGGGACTGGAATTTCCATCACTAAACAATGCAGTCATAAAGCGCGACATCACATGACCGCGCCATTTAGCAACAGCAGTTCCGGCAGTCCCCAGTTACCATTGTTAAGGGAGGACCTCACTTGATTGTGACTTCCAACTTCCTGCTGGCTTCCCCATTGACGTTGCTTGTGGGAAGCCAGCAGGGAAGGTCGCAAATTGCAATCACATGACCGTAGGATGCTGTGAAGGTTGGAAATCTGGGCTGGTTGCCAACCACAGAGATCACAATCACATGACAGCAGGGGCACTGCGACGACCAGAACTTCGAGGACTGGTCGTAAGTACCACTTGTTCAGTGCCATAACAGTTTGAACAGTCACTGAACGAATCGTCAATAAACAAAGACCATCTATATTACAACATCACTATCTGAGTGATGTTTTATAGGATTTCTATTACTCCTTTTCTCTGGAAACTGAAGGTTGCATGTATGGACTTCTCCCTTTACTTTATCCCCACAGCAACAATCTTGTGAGATAGGCTAAACTGAGAGAATGACTGATTCTCCCAAACTCTGAGCTCTGTAGTTGAGAGGAAACTTGAACCTGGATTCCCTTGATTCAGGTCCAATACTTAAGTAACTACACTACACTAGTTTTGTTGCAATTATTTTTTTCTAGCTGTTAGTGCAGTTTTTGTCCTGATGTTGTATGATCACTGAAGACAAAAAGTGCCTGACAATTTTTTTTTAAAGACCAGTGGCAATCTGTTGTGCAGTATAAATCTTCAATCATTGTTGTAACTGGAAGTAGGAAATAATGTTATAATAACTACTGAGAATTGTCACATGCAATTGGACTTGGAATTTCAAGAACACATTTTTAAAAATCTATAATTCTCTGAAATAAAGACTTGGGCTAGGATCCAGCAAAGAGATTACTGTGGATGCATAGGAACAACAGTAACTAATTTGGATGAGAGATATTTTAAAATGAACGCTCATCTTTTTTGCCGTGATACACAAAAAATATTTTCAATTCAAATATGGCCTTAAATTCCAACCTTGAAATGTAATTATATTTTCATTAATAAATTTTCTATGTCCTTATATCTTTGTTGTTATATATGTGTAACATAAGAGTCCGTACGAAACAGAATTTCTTAAGCACATAAAAAGTATAGGCCCTTGCTTAAGATTTAGTAATATTTAATAGCAACTTGAAAAGAGAAATTCACCTTGTTTCATTCTATTATAAATTATTTTCTAAAATTGTGAGCTTTACAACATTGCCACCAAAAATGAAAAATGATCCAACTTGATTGATACATTTCCAACAATTTTTAAAGAATGAATTGTCTATTTTTTGGACTAAATACTGAGGTAGTATACCATCAATAGAATACCTTGTACCAATTTTCTCTAAGGGTAACATTGACCATACATTTGGCACTTTTTCCATTGATGTATAGTACAGGTCCTTGCTACAAGGAGCTTATAATATGGTTTTGATGAAAAAATAAAATGAAATCTATAATTCATTTTAGGATGAAAGGAACAAAAGCAGAACATCATTGAAATGAGCAAAAAAATAAATTTGCATGTAATAAAACTTTGATTCTTATGCAGAAGAAGATATAAAATTCAATTCTAAGCTCATTTATTTGGCAAGAGGTTTCCTTAAAATCAGTGGTGATTATTTCCAGTTACAGGTAGTCCTTGACTTACGACCACTTGTTCAGCATCTGTTCAAAATTACAATGGTGCTGAACAAGGGGGACTTATGACCGGTCTGTGAAGTTGCGGCCGTCACAGCGTCCCCACGGTCTTATGATTGCAATCTGGGCACTTGGCACCCGGCTCGCAATTACAGCATCATAGGGAGCCGCAGTCACATGATTGCCGTTTGCGAGTTTCCCTGGGCTTCCCACAAGCAAAGTCAATGGGTAAGCTGGCAGGGGAAGATTTCAAGTTGCTCCTATAAGTTGCTCCTGCTGTTTTTTCACCTGAGGAGCCCCACCACAGAGTATGAGAGTACCCCCTGTGCTCCACAGCATGCATCTGCAGCACCCTCCCTGCCGGCCCACAACCCTTGCTAGCCTGCGCACACTCCCCAGCGCCTGCCCACAGCCATCACCTAGCCCAGTGATGACAAACCTATGATGTGTGTCAAAGGTGACATGCCAGCATTCACCACCACCTGACAACAACTATCCTCCCTGTTTGAGTTACCAAAGAAACTTGAGTTTGTTTTACTCGTATTTCATTTTTGTAATTATTTGACATTTCTTTATATAATACATAGCATCACACATGATTGTACTGTATTTTTTAAAATAAATGAATATGTAAAGAATTGTTTCTCTTTTGTTTGGGGGGTGGGTGACACGCCAGCAGAGTCA